AAAAAAAGATATTTAAGCGCTCTTTAGAGTTCCCATTTACTGCATTTTCTTGTGACTGGGTTTATCCTACATTACAACTCACAGACTTCAATAAAACTGAAATGCAGAAAATGTAAATTGCATGTTTACCTTAAGAAGGCTGATAATAATGCTATAAAAGAGAGAGAATATGAAAAGCAATATGAAGGAGGAAGCTGTGGACCACAGGCTGCCAAAATCGTCTTCAGCGGTGATATCGTCCCAACTCAGATCACAAAAATCATCTAAGAAGTGGAAGATACATTACACTTGGTTAGAGGAGATCTATGTGCATCTGTTTTCATTTGTTTTTTTAGGGTAATGTGATTTTCCTCTTTGTTACTAGTGTTAATGGAAAAGTGAAAAAAGGAACAGTTTATGTGTATGTCTGCTTTTTGATGTTGTTTCAAGCTATTCATCTACACATATACCAAAGAGTTTCCATGCAACGTTTATTTCAAACAGACAGCACACATAAAAGCAACTGGACACTGTGACTCACACAGGCTGAACAACAACATGATGAAAACAAAACAAACATTTTGTCTCACAGTTACTGACATCACAAGTGCACAGGTTTTCATATAGAAAACTCTCACAGACAAAGAATGACAAAAGCACAAAATATCATATTTAAACCTTAGTATTTACAGTCACATTCTATGGAATTACCAATGACACTGGACACTGTTTTATTAATATGTCCAGTTCCGACTCCGACACGGCAGATGAACTCTTTGGTTGGTTTTTTTTCGTCCCAGTCTGCCTTACTGGTGGTGTAAAGACTCATACTTAGCCATTTCTGGTCATTTTTGCTCTGCTGTGGAGGGATGTCGGTGGCTGTAACATAAGCTCCTTGTGTCTTTCCAAACATTTCTGACCATTCGATTTTATACGTCTCATCCACAGTACTGGTGACCAGACACACCAGAGTGATTTTATCTTCAGACCGAAGCTGGTTAATGTGCAGCTGTGGGGGGGTGTAGACTGCTACTGTTGGCTCTGTCCCATCAGAAAGAGATAGTCAGTTAAACAAAGAGATTTATGTTCAAGTTTAAAGTGAAGACACTGAGTTCAAATGTATATATGTAGACAGACAGAAAGGTGTGTGTATGTGTGTGAATTTAACATACTGTTTGTCGGATCTGTAGTTGGTGAAACATCAAAATTATTTAAATGAAACTACTACTTTCATAATATATTATACCACTAACACTTTAATGTCAATACAAGACAACTAAAATAAACTAATAAAATCAATCATATATGCATATATATGCATAAGGCTCACCTGCTTTTATGGGTTTACCTTGTTTTATTAAAGAATTAAAGTGTTTTGTTTTTTTCAAAAACAACAACAACAACCATGAGTTACTCACTTCCTTTGTCGTATTGGTCAGTAGTGCTCACAGGTGGATTCGGCGTGGACGCCTCTGCAATACAAAGACATGCACACATGTATGTATGCAAAAGCAGTATACAGAAGTTGAGGGAAACTGTGATACTGTGTTCCTACTATATCAATTTAGTTAGATTAAAGTAGTAACAAAATAAAATGACTGAGCATTCTATTTATAAATTTAGAAAAATGTAAGAATAAGTCGTGCTATTTAATAAGGCAAAATATTTGCTTTTATGTTGGTTATTTCGCACAAACAGCATATTTATATATAGTATTTTTTTAAAGGTTGAAACAATAATTCCTCGGTATGTTATTTTGTCAATGTTAGCAGTTCAAAATGGCCATAACACTGCTTCCACTACCAAAAACATCAAAACCAATAAAATAGAGAACTAAAGAGAGCTAACTTGTGTTCTTATCAGAGGTAGCAATCACTAGGTGTAGCTCAGTAATAATTTAAGAGTAATTGTAATTACTGGTCTGAAAACAACTAACAAAAAAAGAACAACTTGAAAAAGGTTACTGAATTTGATAATGCATTACACATCAGTTCAATTCTAATTTTTGTAAAAGTTTAAATTCATTCAAATTGTTTAACTTTGGAATATATTATCAATGCTGTCATGTGGTAATTGTAAATAATGCTCAGAAAATAACTAACACAAATGTGACTTACCATGAGGCTTACGTGGTTTTGTGATACCAGCCTGTCCATTCCCAGCAGCGTGGTTTACAGCACATTGAAAATTCTGTCGTCCATCCCACTCCTGTCTCCTCACTCGGACTTGACTGACTCCAGTATAAACATTGCCATTTTGAACTGCAGGGTACTGGATGAAGTCTGTCAAGGCAGTGCTGCCGTTGCTCCATGAGAAAGTCACTGCAGGAGGGTTAAAGCCAGTGGCAAGGCAGCCAAGAGTGACCATATCTCCACTTTCAGAACCACATGGTACCAGAGGAAACACAGTGGGT